CCCAATCAAACTTGGAACAAGGACGTCAGGCCAGCATAGCTCAGCGGTTGAGCATAGACCTATGAACTAGGAGGTCACAGTTGGATTCCCGGTCAGGGCACGTGCCCAGGTTGCGGGCTCCATCTCCAGTAGGGGGCGTGCAGGAGGCAGCCAGTCAATGGCTCTCATCACTGATGTTTCTCTCTTTCTCCCTCCCCCTTCCTCTCTCTGAAGTCAATAAAATATATATTAAAAACAAATTTCGAGCAAGGATTTGGAGCCCTCATTTGCATGAGGATGAACCAACTGGGGATCAGGAGTGGGGACTTCTCTCTCTATGTCAGCTCCTCTGTGGCTCACTTCCTTTTTCAGTCTTCAAGACAGAAGACGGCATTTCCCCAGCTGGAGCTGAAGCACCTGACATCTTGGCAATCAGAGAGGCGCGGAGCGGGGCAGGGCAGGGCAGGGCAGGGCAGGGCAGAGTGGAACGGAGGAGGCAGAGCAGGCGGGGCCGGCAGGGCGGCAGGGCAGGGCTGCCCTCCCCGGGCGGCCGCTCCAGGCCGCAGGGCAGCGCTGCTCCACAGCCCTGCGGCTTCGTCACTGAGCTGTCACACTACTGAGCTGTTCTTACAGCTGTGCTGTAACCACAATGTTCAGAGCTGTTTGCACTGAATAAAGTTTCCTTTTTCACCAGACCCCAAACTGGGCATTCCTGTTGGCATTGAATTGGCACCAACAAGCTTTGGTTGAAAAGTACTTTATTCTTTTTATGGCTGAATCATGTTTCATTGTATGAAATACCGTGGTTATTTATCTATTCGTCAGTTGAAGGTCAATTGGGTTGTTCCCACTTTCTGGCTGTTACGAGCGATGCTCCTCTGAACAATCATATACAAGTTTTTGTGTGGACACATGTTTTGTCTCAAGACCTCTTTGCTTTGTTTTGTTTTATTTCTCTGTGCCTCCTTTACTACCTTCTTTTGGTTTAGATAAATATTTTTAGCATACTGTTCTAACTTTCCTGTTTTTGGTTTTTTTTTTAATTACGTTTTAGTTAATTCCTTAGTGGTTCTCTAGGGGTTAGAATCTGGTAAAATTGTTGAAAAGCAAACACAGCGACCTATATCATACATCTATGTATGTATATCATACATAGTTGATTTGCTTCAGTAGATCCTCTGGAGAACACCTATCTTGTCATAATGCTGAAGCAGAAGTCCTCCTATGTGTCATCGAACTGGCAATGCTGGTTAGAAAGAAAGCTCTTGACATTTGAATATATTTTTCATGAAGTGAGCAGTCTTACAGTATTCTGATTAGTTCTCATTGTTTTTCAGTGGTTTCTCGGTTTTATAGTTAAGCAGGTAAAAGTTTTCTTAACATTTATGATTATTATTTTTGTTTCATGAACTGTCTAGACCATCTAGAATAATGTTGAATGTAAAGGTGATAGTCTTTTATAAGACTGTCTAACATGAAGGACTATCAACTCTACATGGTGGCATCCATCTTAGCCAAAGAAATCCACAGTGCTTTTTTCTGCTAAGCCAGGACCCTATTCCAGAAACCTCACAGAAACACTCCTATAAGTGACTACGGTTAATTGGATTTGGTTCAGTGAGTGAGATCTGTTTGCCAACCCTGGCTCTGGCTTTTCTCTTTGATGTAGCTTGATAGTGGCTATTCATTTTATTTTTTAAAATATGCTTTTATTGATTTGAGAGAGAGAGTAAGGGAGGAGAGAGAGAGAAATATCGTCATGAGAGGGAAACATGGATCATTTGCTTCCTGCATGCACCCCAACTGGGACTGACCGGGAACCATGAGCATGTGCCCTGACCTGGAATTGAACCGGCGACCTTTCGGTGCACGGGCACTCAACCACTTAGCCACACTGGCCAGGGTGTGGCTGTTCATTTTAAATATTCTTTGTCATGTTTCTATTCCTGGTTTACTAAAAATCCTTAGTTTAGCTTTCCATAAGGTTTCACGATGCCTGCTAAAGTTTCATCATCACATCCACAGAACTTCTAGAGGCAAGGACATCAATCCTTCTTGTCCATCTCTTTCTTTTTAATTTGTTGTGCATCGTTTTTAAGAGCAAAGAAACTCTTCCTAGGACCTTCCCTCATCCCAGACTTCCTCTCATATTGCCAGAATGCCACAGGCTCATGTTAGCCTATCATTGACAAGAGGTATGGGGCCACTATGATGGGCTTAGACTAATCAAGACTCACTCCTAGGGCTGACTCCAAGCTTCCCTGAAGTTGCTGGCTGCTTGGTAGAACAAAATTAAGGTTCCATCAAGAAAAATGAAGATGGGAGTAGGGAATAGGTAGGGGGTGTACAACCAACAGTGTCTGTTACAGAATCCAAACGTCCAGGTTGTTAACCTTGACACACTACTGCTATTCTGGGCTCTCCCCTCAGCTCCTATCCTCACTTAAGACTGATTTTCAACCAGTATGCAGTGGCACACTAGTGTGCTGCAAGAATTTTTGAAACATGCAATACTTCACTATTTATTCAGGGGCACTGACCTCTTTTCCCTGAGATTGTCAAAAAAATGACAAAAGCCAACACAATAGCTGTCCAGTGTGAATGAATCAAAATTATGCTTTTTTTTGGTCAGACCAGCAAAAATATATTTTTTGATGTGCCACAGAATTTTAGTAATTAATTTATGTGTGTTATGAGATGAAAAAGGTTGAAAATCGCTGCTATATTTCCTTAACTGTGAGTCAAGTCCCCTACAACTCTAGCTCTAGGCTGTCCTTGGCAGAGCAGTGGGGAACATAAAATGTATTCCTTGGGACCCAGCACTCTTGTGCAAGTCCTGAGAAGTAAGGGATGTGTGCTAGGTCAGGCCAGGCACTGTCACAGTCTGGGGTGGGGGAGAAGAATAGAGCCTCCTGGAAACGTGGACTGGCCCGGCCCTGACTCAGCCCCAGAGCTGAGTTCCAATCACGCTCTCCACTCTCTCTCTGAGATCTCTTCTTCCTGGTCTGTACTTCTCTTAGAATCTGAATTCTTTTCCTAACATGTTCTAATTTGCCCCCTAGTCCTCAATCTCAACATTATCCTCATATCTCTTTCCCTTGAACTCCCACAGTAAAACAAAACAAAAGCAAAACAAACCTGTATCCACTGAATTTACTAACCATTCATTGATTTCCCATATGTATTAAAAGCTTAGAGATAATAGCACAGAACAGGGGAGAAAATGAAATTTTAGTAGCTGTGTGCCAAGTTCTTTTGCACACACTATTTGACTTTATCCTTAACAGCACCTTGGTAGGTTAGGTTACGTTAACCTTCATGTTAGAGTTTAGAGAATCCAGGTTCAGAAGAAGTCGCCTGTTCAGAGAAGGTAAGGTCAGCTCAGGGGCACACACTATTAGGAGCCCATGACTGCCTGACTTTAAACCCATGCTCTTTCCCTCGCCCCATCACCTGGCTTCATGGTCTTTATTGTTACAAAAAACATTTGCATACATTAATTAGATCCTCACAACAGTGGCAAGGTGAGTAGTAGTATCTGCATTTTATAAATGGTAGTAGGGTTTAGAGATAGTAAATGACTTGCCCAGTCACATGAAGCTTATATTCTGCCACCACAAAGTGTGCCTAGCAGAGAGTGGCATATTTGTTGAATGGATGATGACCTAGACTATAGTAGGTATTCAGTAAATAATTGTCAAGTTATACTACTGAAAATTAATGATGTCACTGCCTAGAGGTCTCTAGCTTCCTTTTTCCCCCTGTCACCTCCCCTCTGGGCTCCACTCAGAGACCCGCTTTTCCCAAGGAATTTAATCAAGACTCACAAAAAGCAGAATCCACATCTCAGGCAGCTGCTCAGATGAGGGCTTAAGAAGGAAAGGTCTTCTTTTGAGATGAAGCTGAATAGACCTAACAGTTTTTGCTCTCCCACCTCCGGCCTCAGGACTTCCTTGGGTCCTGGAGTGGGGGGGTGGTACTGCGACTCTTCCCTGCTCCCAGGCCTCGGGACTGCACTTGTTCTGCAGTAGACCTGTGAGCCTCTGCTCTCCGGTTTCACTGGCTTTGGCCCTGGCAATCTTCACATCAGTGCCCCCTCCCCTCTCTCCTCCCCCAG